GGAGGTGTTCTCTGAATACACTCCTGCTAAGAGTCGAAAACTTTACATGGCAAACTCAGCCACGGCTGATGTGGATGGAGTGGGCACTGTGGTGCTGAAGCTGACTTCTGGAAAGGAGTTGAAGCTTAAGGATGTTCTGCATGTCCCAGACATCCGCAAGAATTTGGTCTCCGGATCTCTTCTTGTTGAGCATGGATTTAGGCTGGTATTTGATGCTAAGAAATTTGTTCTTAGGAAGTTTGGAACTTTCCTTGGTCGTGGCTATCTCGACAAGGGTATGTTTAAAATGAATATAATGGCCGTGAGCCGTGTAACTATTTTAAATGATAATAAAAAACCTATTTCTATTTATACCGTTGAGTACTCTGATTTATGGCATATTAGATTGGGACATGTAAATCTAAATGCAATTAAACGGTTGATGAATTTAGAATTAATTCCTAATTATAAAATTGAATCACATAAGAAATGTGAGATTTGTATTGAAGCAAAAATGGCTAAGTTGCCTTTTCACTCGGTGAAAAGAAGTATTGAACCATTAGGCTTAATCCATACTGATGTATGTGATATGAAAAGTGTGCAACCAAGAACGGATAAAAAGTATTTTATTACTTTTATCGATGATTGCACAAGGTTTTGCTACTTATATTTATTAAGAAGCAAAGACGAGGCTGTGGAAGCATTTAAAAAATCTATAAGACCGAAGTTGAAAATCAACTCGGCAAAAGGATTAAAATAATCCAAAGTGATAGGGGTGGGGAGTATGTATCTTCTTTTCAACAAATATGTTCTGAATATGGCATAATTCATCAAACGATGGCCCCTTATTCTCCACAGTCAAACGGTGTTGCTGAACGCAAGAACCGTACTTTAAAAGAAATGATGAATGTCATGTTGATAAATTCAGAATTTCCCCAAAACATGNGGGGGGAAGCTGTTTTAACAGCAAATCATATCCTGAATAAAATACCACCTAAAGGGAAAGATGAGACTCCTTACGAAATGTGGAAAAATCGTAAGCCGTCTTATAATTACCTGAAAGTGTGGGGGTGTTTGGCTAAGGTTTCAGTACCTGAACCAAAACAAATGAGAATCGAGCCAAATACGATCGATTGTGTATTTATTGGATATGCGTACAATAGTACAGCATATAGATTTCTGGTTCATAAATCAGAAAATCCAGAGGTATCTGTTGGTACCACGATTGAGTCGAGGAATGCTATATTCTTTGAGAATATTTTTCCTTAGAAGGAAAGAGCAGAATCTAGTTCTGATAAACAAATGTATGAAACTGCTAGTGGTTCTGTACTAGAGGGTACTGATGAAGAACCGAGACGTAGTAAAAGGTTAAAAACGGCAAAAACGTTTGGACCTGATTTTGTACGTACATGTTGGACGATGAACCGAGTTCCCTTAAGGAAGCTCTGTCTAGCCCAGATGGACCACTCTGGGAAGAAGCTGTAAATAGCGAAATCGAGTCCATTATGCAGAACCATACTTGGGAGTTGGTTGATCTCCCTGATGGTTGTAAACCTTTAGGATGCAAATGGATCCTAAAGAAGAAATATAAAGCTGATGGATCGATTGATAAGTTTAAAGCACGATTGGTGGTCAAAGGCTTTAAACAAAAGGAAGAGTATGATTTCTTTGATACATATTCACCAGTTACGCATTTAGCGTCGATAAGAGTGTTTCTCTCGATTGCTGCTTTGCACAATCTTAAGATTTACCAAATGGATGTCAAGACGGCATTTTTGAATGGTGAATTGGAAGAAGAAATATATATGGAACAACCTGAAGGATTTGTTGCACCTGGACAAGAGAGAAAAGTGTGTAGATTGATCAAATCCTTGTACGAACTGAAACAAGCTCCGAAACAATGGCATTTGAAATTTGATGACGTGATGTTGTCAAATGGGTTCAAAATCAACGAATGTGACAAATGTGTTTATATCAAGAGTACATCAAATGCATTTGTGATTGTATGTCTATATGTAGACGATATGTTGATCATAGGGAGTAGCCATGAAGTGATCATGGATACGAAAAGAATGTTGAAAAGAAATTTTGACATGAAAGATATGGGTTCGGCTGATGTTATTCTTGGAATAAGGATTATCAGAACCCAAGATAGAATTGTCTTGTTACAATCTCATTATGTAGAGAAAGTGCTCAAGAAATTTGATACCTATGACGGTGCACAGTCTAGGTGTAAGACACCCATTGATCTTAGTATAAATCTGGTAGCCAATAAAGGTCAACCAGTGGCTCAGTTGGAATATTCACGGATAATAGAGAGTCTGATGTACTTGACGAATTGTACACGACCAGACTTGGCCTACCCTGTGAATAAGTTGAGCAGATTTACAAGCAATCCCAGTCATGAGCACTGGAATGCTTTGAGAAGGGTACTTAAGTACTTGAGGTACACCCTTGAATATGGGCTAAAATACTCGAGATATCCAGCCGTACTTGAAGGGTATTGTGATGCAAGCTGGATATCAGATTCGAGAGATTCTCGCTCCACTAGAGGATATGTTTTCTGTATTGGAGGAGGTGCAGTTTCGTGGAAATCCACAAAACAAACTTGTATAGCTCGGTCAACTATGGAATCGGAGTTCATCGCTTTAGATAAAGCTGGTGAAGAAGCCGAGTGGCTCAGAAATTTTTTATCCGATATTCCATGTTGGGATAAGATTTGCCGCCTGTGATGATTCACTGTGATAGCCAAGCTGCTATAGGTAGCGCGCAAAGCAACTTGTATAATGGTAAGTCTAGACATATTCGTCATAGACATAATACCGTACGCCAATTGATCACAAATGGTGTTATTTCCATTGACTATGTGAAGTCTAAGGAAAATTTGGCTGATCCTTTGACGAAAGGATTGAATAGAGATCAATTGGGAGGTTTTCTAGAGGGAATGGGTTTAAAAATCCACAATGTAAAGAATGATCATAGTGGTAACCCTACCATGCTGAGTGGAGATCCCACGAACTTGGTTCAAAGGGAAAACTAAGTTGTGAAAATTCAGTTAAGCACTTGGAACATATGAATGTCCAAAGCTATTCCCTAGAGCACTCCAAGTGCAAGATGACCTGTTGATTGTGGTGAGGATAAGTCATGTGGACTTTTAATGAATCCCTAACCTTGTAAAGGTGGAGTAATACATGATACTCTTGATATGTGGGCCGCTTCAAATGTAAACACTTATGAATCCATTGTGTTGTCCATGGCCAAAACGGACACAACGTTAGAACAAAATGGAGTTAAGACTCGATTGTGTGAATGTCATTGTCTCGGTGTACACTATAGAGGAATAGTTCAAAGCATTATGTCCACTAGGCCGCCAGTACATCCGATGATGTTTACTAAGAAAGGTTCAAAGACAAAAGCTACCTTCTCTGATTCAATAGAATTTTGTGAAAATTGAGCACAATAGTATATATATTTAATTTACACTCATGTAGGGGAATGTAATAATTGAGTGTATAATTAATTATGTCAACAACTCTCTCAACCACTTGGATGATTAATTCATCTGCCAGCTCTCCCAACCACTTGGATGAATAATACCCCATTGCCAACTAACATATGAGATGCTCAGACGTGTAATGTCAACCACCCCAATCATTTGCTATGATATCTTCCATCTATAAATAAGGGGATGCACATGGAGGAAATGACACAGAAAGAGAAGAGAAACACAGCAGAAAGAAAAGAAAAGAAAGAAAGGAGAAGAAAAGAAAGGAAAGAGAAAGAAAAAGAAAAATAATCCATTCCAAAATAATATTGGAAGTTACGCCGGAACCGTTAGCTGCCACACGGGGCGTATTCTTCTTGCGGAAAAAGTTTTACTCGCCTCGGCTTTAATCTTTCCGTGTTGTTTTTAAGATTTGATTTATTTTTCTGTTGTAATTTATTTTTCAGTTCAATTGTAATTTTCTATTTTAGATTATTTGTAAGAACTAAAAAATAAATATCAGTTTGTAGGATTCCCGTGTATTTGACACTCAATTTCTAACATGTTTTTAATCCAAGCAATATAGGCTATCTTTTCCAAGAAGCAATATACAAATCACCACCTGTTTTGACTTAATTCATGTAGACAAATGGGGACATATGAGGGCTTTGTAAGGAACAATGCTTGACTCACACACCTTATTTCCTTACTATGGTTGATGATTACAATTGAGGTACTAGAGTTTATTTATTTATTTATTTTATTATTGTTATGGCACAAAAATATCAAGCTAGCAAGCTGTTGAGAGAGTTTGTCATCATGACAAAAAAACATAGTTTGGGAACAAGGTGAAGAGAGCTAGATCTTAAAGGGAATAGAGTTCTTAGGAAAGGAATTCATTGAATTTTTCAACTCTAAAGTGAAACAACATGAGACCAGTTGTGTGTATTCTATACAACAAAATGGTGTTGAAAGAAAACATAGGTATTTCATGGAAATGGGAAGAGAATTCATGTTTCAAGCACACATACCCCTAAAGATTCTAGCCTTTTGCTATCCTTACAACTACATACATTAGGCTTAAGAGCAACAACAACAGGCTTATGTAGCAGCACTACAAAAACCGGTTGGAGAACTGAAGGCGATTTTGATTTTTGGTTATTGAAGAAGGCTGATGAGTCACCAGGCCTTTATTTCACATAACAGCAGGCTTAATTACATACTACAAAAACTGGTTGGAGTACTGAAGGCGATTTTTATTTTTCGTTAATGAGGTTAATGAGGAGGGNTTTTATTTCTTTATCGGTTCGATTCGGTAAAATCGAACCATTATAGTTTTGGAACCGATATCGAACCGATAACATGTCGGTAACCGATAATCGGTTACCGCTTTAAATGAGTCGGTACGGTTCTATTTTTTTTTTCTTGTTAGTTCAGTTCGATTTTCGATTTTTGGTTAAAAAATGTCAGCCATAGAGGTGAGGAGATTATTAAATGAAGGGGGTGAGAAGATTCATTAGGTTTTACGGCTAAAGGGCCATTGTTTAAAAGAAAAAAAACTAGGCATGTGGAAGTTTGGCAGAAGCCAGAAAAAACTATTATAAAAAATTAAAAATAGGATTAGGAGGAAGACAGAGAGAGAGAGAGACGATAAGCACAACCCACGTTGGCACTCTCAGTTTCGTTTATAGGGTGGGATATTGGGATGGGTATCCAAATAATAAATATCCCACGAACAAAAATAAATAAATTTCGTCTCAAAATTGTCTGAGCTTCCTCAAAGTGTGCGACCATCAACCAAGCAATTCAAATTTGAAAAAGGTTGAAATGGGTTTGATGAGGAGAATCGGAAGATATCGTAATATTATTACTGGTGGAGGAGGAGGAGAATGGAGCAGGATGATTGCAAGGGGGATGTCAACGAATAATAATAATAATCATAACAGCATCAACCTTTTCTCCGCCATCAACCAAGCTCTTCACATTGCTTTGGAAACCGACCATCGGTACCTTTCTCTCTCCATCATATTTGTTATTGCAAATCAATAATGCTTCTTCTTTCTTCTTCTCTCTCTCTCTCTTTTCACATTACTCCTAGTGTATATGTTCTTTTTTTCCAGCGGGAGTTCGATTTAGTCTATGTAGGACAGTAGGAGGTTTATGTTTGAGGCGGGCCTCAACTATTCACATTTGCTTAGGCGAATCTCCATGGTACTTTTTCAAAGAAAATGTGTGCGTTAGTGAAATAACATACTTAACAGAGTTAAATGGTAATTTTATTGCTTTAGTGAAATAAACATAGGGGCGTTTCTAAGGAGGTGGTTTTATTTCTGATTCAATTCAAGCTAGGTTTAAATCCATATTGATACTGCATTTGTGAATTTCGGTTCTTGTTAAGATCTTACGTATTTGGAGAAGATGTTGGATTTGGCGGTGTTTTCCGCTGCACGACTGGGTTAGCTGATCGGTTCGGAAAATGCAGAGTTTTCAACACTCCTCTTTGTGAGCAGGTTCTCTCATTTTATGTGCCTTTCATTTTACTTTTCAGTATGTTTTAGCAACCGAATTCTGTGTATACTCAACTGTCCTTATCTAAAGTTAAATCGACTTTGTTTGGGGTTAGTATGTTATTGTGGTAATGGTACTTGCGTTACTTGACGATTCTAAGTTGGAATTTTTGCTTGCAGGGCATTGTTGGATTTGCTATTGGTTTAGCAGCTATGGTAGGTGTTTAAACTTCATTTGTGTCTGAAATTTGAACTTCTTTATTAAAGTTTCCTACTGTGCTGAAAAAAATGCAAATTCTAGGGGAACCGTGCAATAGCTGAAATTCAGTTTGCAGATTATATTTTCCCAGCTTTTGATCAGGTATGTGCTGTCTTTTTGTTTTAATATTTTTACGCCTATGAATTCTAACTCTTAATTGAAATTTTTTTATTTCTAATCTTTAGATTGTCAATGAAGCTGCCAAGTTTAGATACAGGAGTGGCAATCAATTTAACTGTGGAGGTAACTATTCCACATGTGTACCATGCTTTTATTTAGTTATTTAAATGATGTTGTACCAACTAAAGTGTGTGCACTTTTTAGGTTTAACAATCAGAGCACCTTATGGAGCTGTGGGTCATGGCGGCCATTACCATTCCCAATCCCCTGAAGCTTTTTTCTGTCATGTTCCGGGTATTAAGGTATGACGGATGATTTAACTTAAGGGTGTTGCTTTTAACATTTCAAGTTTTGTTTGAGTTGAATTTACAATTCAGAAAATGGTTAAGGTAATCATAAGGTGGTGGGTACGTTCCCTTCTTTTATCAATTGAATTTTGTTCGACCAGATTTATAATTTCTGTTCAATCAGGCATCCCAAAATGAATATGCTTGCAGCCAACAATCATCAAATGTTTCGGATTCCTTAGGTGTCGTGCACATGGAGACTGTTATCGATCGAGTTTTTGTTCTCCTGGCTTCATAACTTTTGAGAATTAAAATCTTTTCCTCTATAAATGAAACTGTTAATTTAATTTTGTGATACTTCTATGCCCTGCTTCCCATGGAAAACATCTTCCTTTCAAACGCTATCCTTCCTTTCAGGTGGTAATCCCTCGTAGTCCTCGACAAGCTAAAGGATTATTACTATCTTGCATCCGTGATCCAAATCCAGTTGTGTTTTTTGAGCCAAAGGTATATATTCATTTTTTATTGAGATTGTCATCAGTTGAAATGATTTGATGTTTAAGGTCACAAAAATTGATTAAATAAATGGTCTCAGTGGCTATACCGGCTTGCGGTAGAAGAAGTCCCAGATGAAGACTATATGCTGCCTTTATCTGAGGCTGAGGTATGCTGACTTTTATTTGTGCCTTTTTAAGTAACAAATAATTACTGCTTCTCAGAAAAACACACAAATCTCAGGTGATTCGTGAAGGCAGTGACATAACACTTGTTGGATGGGGAGCTCAGCTTTCAGTCATGCTACAGGCTTGTGTTGAGGCTGAGAAGGTACTCGGGTCCCATCATATGCTTGTATATTATATGACCTTAACAACTAATTTGAACTTACATCTTAATGGGAGCATGAGTGATACCGATTGAATCTTAGAAATTTCTCAATTATTGTTCAACAAGTAATTTTGCTTCCATTTACAATTCTATTAGGTTATTCAAGGTTAGATTTTTCTTTGAGTCGTGATTAGATTATTGTTACTGTATGTGAAATTTCGTTTGTAATGATGTTGTAATCCACATGCTTTGTTTCTTGTACTTGCGATATCTAATTCTTCTGAACGGCCTTCTCATGCTCGAAAACTTCAAGATTCTGTAGGATGGCATATCGTGCGAATTAATAGACCTAAAGACTCTAATTCCATGGGACAAGGAAACTGTGGAGGCCTCAGTTAATAAAACTGGAAGAATTCTGGTGCGTATGATTTGCTGATTCTCTTTTGTTGAAGATAAGTTCTCATTCATTGCCTTATAGTATTTTAGTAACTGATTGTTCAGGTTAGTCATGAAGCTCCTATAACAGGTGGATTTGGCGCTGAAATTTCTGCCTCCATAGTTGACCGTTGCTTTTTGAGGGTAAGAATTTGTATCAAGATTAGTTCTTGATTTATCTGCCTTTTGTTTTCATTCTATGACTTTTATTTTCCCCGTCTTACAGCAAAATCTGTTAGTTTAATCCTGTAGCATATACAAATGATGAAGGCCTATCCTAACCGTAAAATCATTATTTTCTGTTTGCGGCGCAAATTATTGTTCCCTGTTTGTGTTTATACATGCACGAGAGCAATATAAACCTGACTCTTGAAAAAATTACCCATCTTCACTGAATAATATGTATGACTAGTTGACTAGCTGAAAATGATTATATATATTGAAGAAGGTATTTGAGTTATATTTACTTTTCGATGTGTTCGGTTGATAAATCTCGGTTGGCAGTTAGAAGCTCCAGTAGCTAGAGTTTGCGGCCTCGATACTCCATTTCCCCTCGTGTTTGAGCCTTTTTACATGCCGACTAAGAATAAGGTGAGATTTGTAGATGGTGTGTATGTACGTACAAGTTTCATGTCTAAGCAAATGTAATGAGAATATGAATGTGAAATGGTTGCATGCAGATATTGGACGCAATCAAATCTACTGTGAATTACTAATGCATTTTGGGGCCACGCGAATGCTTTGGCACAATCATGTGAAAATATTCACGAGTAATGTGTTGTGATGATATTATTAAGGGGATACATCTATGTATCCTGTTCAGAATAGGAACAACTTTAGTTCATCAATTTTATGTATCTCAATTTTAGTTAAACAATTGCGAACAGGACATTCTGTGTATTCCAATCTTGTCTTTCACTAGTATGTATTCGTGGATGCAGGAGACACATAATACTGCAAAAATTTATAAATTATATGAATAAATAATACAAAATGTGTTTTGTCATATATGTATGGAGATCACCCTATTTGTTCTTTTGTGGACACCTCTCTTAGAAAAAAAACTACTATAGTACATATGCGATGCACAGAAGCATTTATTATCTACTTGATTTTTAAAAAGTATATCTATAGTAATATAAAGAGGTTGTTGGAAAAATACAAAAATAGTAACTTTGACTTTAAAAATAAAGTGTTGACTTACTATTAGTAGAAATTTTGAAAAAAACACATGTGAATCTTTAGAAATCAAATTTAAGGGAGATATCCCAAAAAATGTGGAGATTCTTAAGGTAACAAATTTGGAGATCATTAAGGTAACAAATTTAGAGATTCTTATGCCAAAATTTAATTCATTTCATAAATACGAATCTCATTTTTATTGGTAACAAATTTGGAGATTCGCCAAAAAATTAAAATTTTGAATTGAGATATCACAACAATTACGAAATTTTTTTCTATTCAAATTAATGTATCAAATCAAACAAAAAGTTGTTCCGAGAATAATGGATGTTGTATTAAATATTGATAAACTCCAAACCTCTATAAATTATTTATATTTATAAATTTTGTGTGTAAATATATTGATTTTTTTTCCTAAATAATACTAAATTACATTATTTTAGGACCTAAATCCTAACTTCTTTTCTATTTTTTGGTGGTTTATATTCTTTAATTGAAATAATATTTGACTTATTTGATTAAAACAACTTATTTTCTATAGGAAATAAATTTAAGTGAGATATCCCAAAAGAATTTGAGATTCTTAAGGTAACAAATTTGGAGATTTTTATGCCAAAATTTAATTCATTTCATAAATACGAATCTCACTTTTATAGGTAACAAATTTGGAGATTTTTATGGCAAAAATTGAAATTTTGAATTGAGATATCCCAACAATTATGTATTTTTTTTTCCATTCAAATTAATGTTGCAAATCAAACAACAAATTGTTCCGAGAATAAGGGATATTATACTAAATATTGATAAACTTCAATCCTCCGTAAATTATTTATATTTATGAATTTTGTGTGTAAATATATTGATTTGGTTTTCTTGGATATAATAAATTACATTATTTTATGACCTAAATCCTAACATCTTCTCTATTTTTTGGTGGTTTATATTCTTTAATTGAAATAATATATGAATTATTTGATTGAAACAACTTATTTTCTTTAGGAATCAAATTTAATGAGATATCCCATAAAAATTGGAGATTCTTAAGGTAACAAATTTGGAGATTCTTATGCCAAACTTTAATTCATTTCATCAATACGAATCTCATTTTTATTGGTAACAAATTTGGAGATTCTTATGCCAAAAAATTGAGATTTTGAATCAAGATATTCCCACAATTACGGATTTTTTTCATTCAAATTAATGTTACAAATCAACAGAAAGTTGTTCCGAGAGTAATGGATGTTATACTAAGTACTGATAAATTTCAATCCTCCATAAATTATTTATATTTATGAATTTTGTGTGTAAATATATTGATTTGTTATTCTTAAAAATAATAAATCACATTATTTTATGACATATATCCTAACTACTTTTATATTTTTTGGTGGTTTATATTTTTCAACTGAAATAATATATGACTTATTTGATTGAAACTAACATATTTTTAGTCATATAATCATATAATATAAAAAAATCACAACTTAAATATATATATCTATGAATATATAAAAAGGCAAAACATTTAGCTGTGATAGTATGTAAAATCCCGCCTAAATTTTCGTTTTTACTAATAATGAATTTATTAAAAAAAACCGTAAATTTCCACCCAAAGCACAAATTGATTTATATATATATATATACAAAAAAAGGTTTGAAAATCCGGGTAAATCTCTATCTATGGATATTTTTTTGTCCTTATCTATAAACTACAAAATCTTTTTAAAGTTTGGAAAGAATCTCATATTATGTGAATTCCTGGTAAATACTTTTTTCTCCATATTTATCTAACTACAATATCTTTCTAAAGTTTAGAAAGAATCCATCTTTTTAAAGTTTGCACTCAATCGATCCCTTATATAAACCCCTCCCCATCCAATTACAAAACCCTAAGTATGAGACCAAAAAAAAAATCAGTTAGTCATAAATAAAAAAAATCACAAAAAACTCCTAAATAAAAAATTCAAATCAACCTATCGAATCTTAGGGTTTACTTCGACATAACCATCAGCAGCCCCGCCGTTGAATCGTGATGGAGCTCTTCGCCGACGTCGTCACGAAGACCGATGAGAACTTTTGCGCCCTATGCACCAACGAGAAGGACGTCGGCAAATCTGGCAAGCCCCTCCACCACAAAGGGTCATCCTTCCATCGTATAATCCCCAATTTCATTTGTCAGAGCAGTGACTTCACTGCGGGTATCGATGGCAAGTCGATCTACAACGCCAAGTTTACCGACAAGAACATCATGAGAAAGCACATCGGGACCTGTCAATGGCGAAGGCTGTTCCGGGGACAAATGACACGTACTTTTTCATCTGCACGACAAGGACGAAGTGGCTTGACAACAAGCACGTGGTGTTCGGGCAGGTAGTGGAGGAGTACGACATATTGAAGGCGGTGGAGAATGTCGGATCGGGGAGCCACCGGACCTCGAGACGGGTGGTGATCACCGACTGCAACCAACTCCAAATCTGATGGTTGTGTGTCGTTTAATTTGAAGTTTGTTGGAGACTATTTTCATAACTACCTAATAATTGTCTTCTGATTTGTTAAATTTGAAATTAAAAAATAGTTTGTTGGATACTTTTTTTCATAACTACCTAATAATTTGTCTTTTGATTTGTTTAAATTTGAAATTAAAAAATGAAGTTCATGTCACGTTCGTAAGACTCTGGAAATCATATAAGAATTTTATATTATATGATCGATTGGTTCCTAAAAACTTGGCGCATATATACAATCATTTATCAAAATTTAAAATTTTAAGATTACAAATAAATATTTCTTCAAATGGTCATATTTATCTTTTTACATTTATTAAAGTTTTAAGATTACTATTAAATATTTTTTCAAATGGTCATAGTTATCCCAACACATTTTATCACACTAAAAATAATATATTACGATTTATTACACTATAAATAATATATTATAATTTAATTATTTCACACAATTGTTTGAAAATTTTAATTTGTTGACAAGAAAGTTTGCCACATATTCAAATAAAAAATATTGTGTATAGGGAACTGTTCAACAATATATGATTTTTCATACTCTGTATCTAATTTTTTGCCAAAATAAAATGTTTAAACTTTAGTAATTATATTTAGAAATAAAGTTTTAAATAGGTTTTGAGGAACAAGCCTCACCGTGCATCGCACGGGTTGCTCACTAGTTGTATTTAAATTGTTTCATGACATTAAGAATATCATGAAAATAAAATTTATATTTTATTGTATATTTTCTTATATAGAACATTCTTGGTTTGATTCTTTGGCACGTAAAGTACTACATGAGTGTTCAAATATTATTTAAAATTGCGTATTATTTGTTATTAGTTAAAAAATTATGTTTATTTTTTTTAAATAGGGGATCTTATGAAACAAAATTCTAGTAGAAAAAAAAAAAAAATTTTTAGAGATTTTCACGCCATTTTATTTATTTTTTAATCTAATTCAAAATTTTGATTAAGAAAAATTGAAAAAATTATTAATTTTTCCTAAAAATGAAACTGAACTTTCTACCATTAAATCGATTTTTTTATCAAATAAATTTATCCGAATATTTGGTTAAAACGAAGTAAAAAGAATCATCAATTTTTTTCTAAAATGCAACTGATTTTTTCTAACATTGCACTGATTTTTTACAAAACAAATTGAATTGAAATTAATTCCAATAAAAAATCAGAATAATTTGTTAAGATTTATGCAATTGTTTCTTTCCTAAAAATTTAATTGATATGAACTTAAGAAAAAATATTGATATGAACTTACCAAAATTACGGTAAAATATGGTTAAGAAAAAACATAAGAATTCAAAAAAATCTGTGCATTCAAATTTTGAAAATTTGCACACAATTTTTCCTTTTAAAAGTTGCGCAGGATTTTGAAATTGATTTGAATTTTTTTTCCTAAATAATTGAATAAGGTTTGACTTTAAATATCCAAGATGAAGCGATTTTGTTACCAAAAAATATGGATACAAATTTGAATGTATATCTCGTCTAAATATCAGTTTTGTTTTAAACTAAATTTGCTCGTAGTTTTATCCAATTTGCACACATTTTTTTGAAAGAAAACGTTATTCAAAAAGATATGAAGAATTTGTTAAAAATTATACAGCTATTTGTTTCCTCAATTTGTATCCAATTTGCACGGTTTTTTAATTAATTTGTATTTGAAATTTTTTTCATAAATAATTGACAAAAAATGGAATTTAAATTTTGCTAGAAAAATAAAAAACGATATTAAAAAAATTATATTTAAATTTTATTTTTATACTACCCGCGAACGAATGAGGAGCGAAGGTAAATTTTGGCTTACTTGATAAAGATTGGAGACATCTACGTTATGGGTGAGCATTCCGCGAAAAACCGAAAAACGAAAATTTAGAATTTTCTTCACAGAACCGCACCGCAAAGGAAGGAAAAATCGAATCAAACCGAACCAAAAATTTTTTAGTTGGTTGCGGTTTTTCTGTTAACCGGAGCTACTCAATAGGTATATCACATTTAACATGGAAAAAAAAAAATTAAAATACGGATGGGCTGAAATTGGGACAAAAAAAATAATTTCACCAAATGATTGATTCTCAAAGCATCTAATACACTCGGCAATACTACAAATTTACTCCAGGCCTTCGAACATCTAAACAAAAACTGATAGATACTGCATAACAAGATTACAAGATCAACATTTATAAATGAAAATGCCCTAAAATTTATTGAAAAGGCAAAATTAGGGTTGGGGTTAGATTGAAGACGAGGGACGAAATGAGAAAATGAAAAAACAAACTGAGAGAGTGAGAGCTGAACTAAATTGAGGAAGCCCGTGGAACGACGAGCGAGCACCGGACGGTGAGCAGCGGCCGGCGGGCGGGCGGGCGGAAAGAGTGAGCGAGGGCCGAACGACCGGAGTGAGAGTGAGCGGCGGACGGGCTGAGTGCACGAGATTTCGATCGCGGCTGCGGGCTTGAGAGTTCAGAGTGAAAAATTAGGATTGAGGGCACGGAGGTGCAAGGTAATTCCCCCTCTATTCCCAGAGGCTGCGGCTGTTGGTGTAAGAAAAAACAAAAGGGAATTCCCCTTTTGCTTTTATTTCCCCTCTAAATCGAGTCAGGTGCTCTGTCAGAGTTCTTTTATCGTTCCTTCCCACACAAAACTTCTTCTTGCTTTACATTTTCATTTTCTTATTCCGTCCGCGCGCGGCGCGCATCACCACCTCAGCAATCGTCTTCTTGTCGGTAAGTCCTCACAATTTATATGTCAAATTGTTGCGTAGATTCCATATATCTTAACAATTTTAAGAACCGGTGTGGGAGGACTTGAACGGGGCCACGAACGGCCACAAGCCGGCGACCCCTTAACCGGAACTTTATTAAACGTATAGCATGTGATAGCTCTCGTCTTTAGGATCATGTTGTTGATTTTTTATTTTGATTTGGGTGAATCGTGTGTGTGCTGGATGTCCTTTTTGGGAATGTGATAGATATACTGCCTAAATTGTGCTTTCCAAAATTTTTGTCAACAAATGTTACGGTGCACTCTCTGTCTGTTCTTTTACTGTTTGACCCATGTAGTGTCTACATAAAACTTGTAGTTCAGTGCCTTGTTTTTCTGCTGGTGCAAGAATCAACCAATTATCTATATTGTATGAAAAGTGGTTAAAAAAAATCACTGCAGTCTTATTTTCCGTCAAACGTTGTTATGTGCCCTGCCTGTTTATTATACATTTCACTTACCTAGCAACCTGTTGTGCTTCCAATGTCTTCATGAAAGTCATAGAGGTGTCTTAGCATTTTATAGGAACAAGAACTACTTCGGCACCTATTTTCTGTCAAAATTTATGTACTAAATTCAAACACACTGCTAGCTGTTTTCTATCTATTTGGCAGCACTACTACTGCTGACTTTTGTACCATTTTTCATCCTCTTTAGCTTGCTCTTAAATGTTCAAAGTCTTCATAAGGATTCTAGTTCTGTTTCTAGTCTTCCCATGATTTTTAGAGTCAATCAAATATCTATTTTCTAGAAAAGGATATGTTCAATATATCTAGACTGTGCATAAATGATCAGTCCAGTTTTCAGCAGCAGGAGTGTTCTGTTTGGAGGTGGTTTTCACCCTTTGAATGCTCTCCTCTATGTTTGATGTCTGAATAAGAGTTTTACATGTGTGTCTTGAGATTGTATTGGAGCAAGAATCACTTCAATACAAATTTCCTATTTAAAGTGATGTTCAGAATACGAACACTGTGCCTGACTGGTTATGATCAGATTTGCTGCAGTAAGTCTGTTCGGTTTTGTCTAGTTTTAACCCATTTAACATATTTGTTCGTGTTTGGAGTCTTCGTAAAAGTTTTAGCTTTGTGTCTTATCTTTTTATTCCTTCAGGTATCAACTCAATATCTATCTTATGGAAAAAGTTATAACGAAAATATGAACGCTGCACAAAGCCACCGTGTAGTTTTCCGTCTACATTGTGCACTTCTTTTCTGACATTTGGGTTTTCGAAGTACATGGATGTTGAGCAGTGCCTGAAGCTGACCACTAAATTAGGTTTGCATGCCATTCTATTTTCAGGTAGGTAAAAACTTTATAAAACTTATGCATTCGATAAAAAACTTAGTTTATGAAATAACTTCTAGGTTAATGACGAAGAATGAATTGTTTTATGCACATGCTTCTTGAAACCAGAATGACATAATTTCATATTTGAATTTGCATTATTCCCGAGATTGTATTATGGACATGTTCGAAATCATATGCTTGATACTTGATTGATATCATGTGCATCGACTTGTGTATCTTGGTTAATAATCGAGCATGGTTATTATTCGAATGTGTATGACTTAGTCCCATATCCTGGTCGGATTGGATCCATCGACGGGAATGGGTCGTGTAATGGGCATATTCTAGAATATGATGTCACTTGGGTTTTCGCCCATCGCATAAGGGATGTCGAGCCTCTTGGGAAGGGTAAGGTTGAAAGGAGATGGCTTCGGCCTATCCTGGTGTGCCACCTTTTTGGTGAGTGGGAACGTAAGTGCCGGTGTCCGATCAACATTTGGCGATGCGTTACATAAATCTGATTGATTTGATTTGTTCAAACAGTTTGATTACAAATTTATTGTGATTTATCTGTGCATATCATGTTCATTCATAAAAATAAAAAGATTAAAAATTGGGAACATCAGGTGCTCGATTGCTCTTAAAAATAAAATAAAATACTTCCATGTCCTTAGAATTCATTTTTAAACGTAATTCTTCTTTTGAATATTCACAAAATTATTTTTGAAAATATTGCATTCCCTACCCCCTACCTGCTGTACCCTTTTGGTTCACCCCACGCTTTCGAAAATCTTTCAGATTTGTAGTGAGGAGGATCTTGACTAGCTCTACAGACTTGTTGCGAGTATCGCACTACCTTAGCTTGCCTCGTGGAGTTCTTTGGTGTCAACTTAGAATCTTCCGGTTTTATGCAGAGTTCTTTTGAACTTGTATCTTTATTCAGATGTTTTGGCTGTTGTCCCATGTTCTTTTAAGTTTATCTCGATAAAGTAGACTAGTATTATATTATTTTTCCTTTATTATGTTTCAGGTCATGACATGATGTGATTGAGAAATTCCAGAGTATAGAGAAAGTTGTATGATGCTTTCTTATGGGATGAATGTGAACAGGAGATGATACACTCTTAAAGCTTGTCACTCAGGAGAGGAACTGCCAACTTTCACTTTGTATGGTTGTGGAAATCCAAATGTCGATTGCTGCAATTAGATCAATCAGTTGTAGAGAGAAGCGGATGACATCTCTAAGTCCATCTTTCTTGTCAAAACTCCAAATGTTGTCCTCTCCATACTCTTCAGCTTCCCTTGACCATCAAAAGCAAGATCCAGATGGCAGATACAAAGAAACGTGCCAAAGTTTGCATGAGAGTGAAAATCTTGTTATTTGTTCTCCCGCTCGGGTACGAAAGCTAATAGCTTCCCAATCAGACCCACTCCTCGCCATGGAAATATTCGATTTAGCTTCGCGACAGCCGAATTTCCGGCATTCATATGCCGCCTACCATATGCTTATACTCAAACTCGGCAGCTCTCGCCACTTCTCCCACATGGAAGCCCTCCTCTCTAATCTCAAGACCAGAAACTATTCCATTTCCCCATCTCTCTTTTCTCATGTCATAAAAATATATGGCGAGGCAAAACAACCCGAGAAAGCCCTCAAAACTTTCTACTCGATTCTCGAATTCAACATCAAACCCAGCACTAAGCACCTCAATAGCATCCTTGGAATCCTGGTTGCCGACAGTAAATTTCTCAAACCTGCATTCGACCTTTTCAGGTCGGCCCACAAGCATGGAGTTCACCCCAATACCGTTTCCTACAACATCATGATGCGGTCTTTCTGTTTGAGCGGCGACTTGAGTATTGCGTACAATTTGTTCAACCAAATGTTCAAGCGTGATGTTCTTCCCGACGTGGAGACCTACAGAATCCTAATGCAAGGGCTGTGCAGGAAGAGCCAGGTTAGTAGAGCTAATAGTTGATTGATATGCAGATCTGGTAGAATAATTGATTGACAAGATCTTTGGGAAAATATTCGATTAGGAAAATCTGAGCATATTAATAGCAGCTTTAGAAGCATAAAATTAGGATTATTATCATATAAATAACTGGATTGAGTTTAGGACAAGAATATTCTTTGTATTGAGCATTTTGGGTGGGGATACAGGAAATCTTCCCAGGGCCCTTGTGACTTAATTAAAATTCAGTTTCATTTTTCTGCTTACGATTTTATGCTCTTTACTCTACTGCAGGTGAACCGAGCTGTTGATTTGTTAGAGGATATGTTGAACAAAGGGTTTGTGCCTGACACCTTGAGCTACACCACTTTGTTGAATAGCTTGTGCAGGAAAAAGAAGCTGAGGGAGGCTTACAAGCTTCTCTGCCGGATGAAAGTGAAAGGGTGCAATCCGGACATTGTACATTACAACACCGTCATTGCAGGGTATTGCAAGGCGGGCCGGGCTGCAGATGCCTGTAAGGTTCTGGAAGATATGCCTTCCAAGGGGTGCCTGCCAAATTTGGTGTCATATCAGAATATAGTTGTGGGGTTATGCAATCAGGGCATGCACGATGAAGCAAAACGTTATGTTGAGGTGATGTTGTCCAAGAATATGTGTCCTCATTTTTCAGTCCTTCATATGATGGCTAGAGGCTTTTGTAAAGCCGGGAGAATTGAAGATGCTTGTAACGTGTTGGCTGAGTTGTTGAGGCATGGGAATAGTCCTCATGAGGACACTTGGGCCGAAATTATACCTAGGATTTGCGAGGTGGGTGATGTGGAATCAACAGGAGACATCCTGAAACGGGTTTTGAAGGTGGAGATAAGGCCTGGCATGAAAATAGTGGAAATTAGTTCTGGCTTGGAGGAGTACTTGATGAAGAAGATAAAAACTAGGTCAAAGGTGAGGTGATTGTTCTTCTGTAGAACATGATTGAACCCTTATACAAGTGTTACCAGGTGTTGATTGTGATGGGTACTGTCACATTGTTGTCTATGGATGATATACGTTTATTGAAATGTTAGTTGAAAGGTTTGAGGGTTGATCGAGTTTTTTTATGCACATGGAATTTTATTTATTTTTATTTCGTTTTGTTTTCATGTAGTATTGTTATGCAGTTGAATTGGCATCATTGTCTGCTATTCATCAGTAAAAGAGGCTTTGCTCTTTCTATATTCCCGCAACATAAAGCAAAAGGCTAAAAGGGGAAAGGAAAATGGAAGGAAAAAAGTTTTCATCTCTAAAACTTTGCAAATTTTGTGTTTCTTATTCCTCTAAGTGAACATAAACTTAGCCAATAGGTTTATCATGTTTCTTTCACGCAAATGGGCTGTAACTAATCAAATGGCTGGTTAAGTTATCATGTTTGGGCATGGGCTTGTCCTGTTGAAGGTGACTCGTATAGGAATATGTAATATATATACAGGAATATTGTGTCAACTGTCAATTTATTCAGCAAATTGGAATTTGGATCTTAAAGCTATTGCATTGCTAGCTCGGAGTGCAGAATACAATTCCAAGGTATGTTGCAACCATGATGGTGTGTTGTTAACTCTTATATTCAACCATTTATAATGCTTTAAGCAATATGTGAAATTTTAAGCTTTTCATACACAAGTTGTCCGCAAATATAGTGGGCCACTAAATCATTACTGGATTTTTTTTGTGGTTTCTCCTGTGCTTTGCTCTTTTATCCTGTTGAACATATATTTGTTCCAAGATTTAGAGTTTGTTTTGAACAGTTATCTTGCTAGCATATATTTTACAGCATCAAGTGCATCAGCATAAACTCTAGGCGCTTTTTTTTTCTTATTTTCTATCTGCTGTAGACTTCAGAAAGCTTGCTTTTGGTGTCTTGTTTTTTATTCTCAATTCTTTATGTTTTAATCTCACTTAAGTAGACGATGGAATCTTTTATTTAAGTTGTATTATACTATAATCCCAACTCTTGGATAACTTAAGCAGTGGCAAATGGAAATTTCAAAATAGGAAAGTACTAGATTTATGTCTATGATTTGTATTTATCAAGCCTAGTAAATGGCATCTGAATCAGATACTTACTTTTTCGATGGGATTCCAGCGTTTCGCTGCGATGATTATGAAGATGCGGGAACCAAAAACAACAGCACTAATATATGTGTCTGGAAAGATGGTCAGGCATGCATGATTATCATTTGTTTTCCCTTTGTTGGTTATAGAGTATTATCTTGCTTATAGACTTCTGTTTAAGACATAAAGTCATATACTATGTTTTTTGTTAATCCTAAATGTGTTGGGTGCTTATGGTTCATCATTCAAATTTGTACTCACGGTGGTTTATTTAAGTCTTTTCAGATGATTTCCTAAAAGTTCCTTTATCTTTCCTAAATTGGCTGCTGGAAAGGTATATACCTATACCTGGGATGCTAATGATCTATTTGCAGATCAAAGTTTCTTTAAGGAAGCCATTATGGATTTGTTGGCACTAAAACAAAAGCATCAGCTATCGCGGTTTACATGAACTAGTTATAAAACTGTAGTTTACACAAAACAAGCTAAGCAAATCATTTATGTTCCTCTTACTTTTGTCTTATTGTGTTTTCATTTTCACCATCCTATTTCTTCAGTATGCTAGAATTATTCAGAAGCTTGGTTTTCCAGCCGAATTTAAGGTACCTATTTGCATCCCTTTTTTTTCCCTATGATCTATTGGACTTGACTATTGGTCCTCCTCTCAGTATTGACTTTATGCTTACATCATTTTCCTCCCTTTGAATCTTACAGGATTTAAGATTCAGAATATAGTCAGTTCTCGTGATGTGAAATTTCCAATTCGACTTGAAGGCATTGCGTATGTGAACGGTGCCTTTTCCCGGGTGAGTGGTTCAGTAGGCTGTGCTTTCACTGTTTTTGTTAGAGGCTGTCATCAACAACATTCAAAATGATTAAGTGATCAAACACAAAAGTAATGTTGGTGCCCACATGACACTGAAGCTTCTACATATATGGGAGGTTTGGCCGTTGGGGGTGTGAGGGAGTCTCTGAATTTAGGAAAAGAAGCCTTAAACAGGACATTGTTGAGGAAAACTGGGTGCAGAAATTTGTTAGTACGGGGAAAGAAATACACAGTATTTGGGGATGAATTTCATTTCCATCAAACAATAGTTTCTTAATATGAAATTTCGACTGTTATAGTTTGATAATATTTTATTAGTAGTGGTTAAAAAGGCATGAACCTCTGGGAGGCCACAAGCCATTAAAAGGAGGAAATTATTTGTTTCAAACACCTGTCTTTTAATGTTTTAAATTTACATTAATTTCTTCATTTATTGGTTCAATATGAGCCAGAGTTGTTTCCTGGACTAATTTACAGGATGAAACAAGCAAAGATAGTCTTGCTCATTTTTTGTCTCGGTGAAGATTGTTCTCACTGGAGCTAAGGTAGTAACTCTACTTTGTTAGTTTTTGAGGATATCATTTCTTTATGTTGCTCTACTAATGGTTTTTTTGAAGATGATTTAATGCGTTTCCTTTCCTTTCCTTTTTTTTTTTGGGATCGATAAAATGATTTAATGCCTTTTCTTGTTAACATTTCCAGGTCAGGGATGAGATCTACACCCTTTGAGAATATATACTCTGTTCTCACTGGATTTCGTAAACTTCAGCAATGGTATGAAGAAAGTGTGGTTATGTGTTTCATTTTCCATTCCTAGTGTCTGCTATTTTCTGTCGACTTGTTATTCATCGTGTCTTTGAGCTGATGATCTATAGTTCATGAAAGATTAGTGATAAACAAGAGATAGTTGATGNATTAATATAATACTGAAGGCATTGCATTAGTCGGAGCCGAGAATGTCATGGGTGGAATGCTATTGGCAGCTACATTTTTATGACGAAATTGCATTTGTAGTTTGTTTACAGCTATAATATTAATAATATGCATCTGATTTTCATGCTACAAAGAATTTAAATATGTCGCAATCCATTCACCATTCTCGTAACAAGCAACCTAATTGTTAATCATCCTCATCATCATTCAAATGTGATATATCACCATACAATGAACAACCATCGAAATCTCTCCTCACAATTTTACGTAAAACTACCAAAACTCCATCATTGACCAAAATAAACCCAACAAAATACCTAGCCCAAACGGGATTTTGGGCAACAAACCATCATCATCATCATCTTCATCTTGTCTTCCCTCATTTCGGAATGATTCATATTACTATGCTAACTCAGAAATGGCATTGTACAATATTTTGTTAGAAAATGATTTTGAATGTCGTATGCATAAGTGATTAGTCTTAATTTTCAGGAAATATTTTCAAAGATTTTATTTTAAATCAACTTTAGAATTAGCGCTAAATTTTAGTGAAGACTAAATTATTGAAAATTTAAAATTCAAACAAAATATAATAGCTCCTCTTTCAAACCTAGTTGTCCATTCTCTGGAGATAGGAGTAGACTGAGTAGGGTCAAGGATCTAATTTGTCAGGATAGTAATTCTTAGGATAGAGAGCTTATTTGTCAAACCTTTAATCCTATAGATGCTGCTTTAATTCTGCAAATTCCTCTGAACATTCAAAGTGGTAGGGACTGACTTATTTGGCATTGGAGTAAGAGGGGGTTGTTTTCTGTGAAAGAGGTGTATAAGGCTATTTTAGCTAGCTTCAAGTCTAATTGCCCTGATGTAGGTTACAATGCTTTCCCCAGAGTTAAGAATTTTGTTTGGAGGTCTCATCAAGAACAATTTTCCAAGAAGGTAGGACGAAAGAGCTTGTTCGTCAGTGCCTTAAGTTCTTTGGGAGGTTGTTTTGATATTTGATACACACTAATTAATTACAAATAGTTACAAAACATGTTTGGGCATAATATTCACGATTTGATTAGTTACTACGTACGACATTTTTTATAATGACAAAAGTTACTAAGCTGCTGGATAGTGAGTATATTTTATAGTTTTGCCTATAAACATAACATTATTTGTTTGTTTTTTTTTCTTATGGTTTATTACTCATTTAATTAGCGAACATATAAACTAAATTTTTGACCTCAGTATTTTGAGCGAATAATCTGCTCTTAAACCAAAAAAATCATAATATACATAATTTGAAACTTTTATTTTGAATCTATTCATTTCTTAAGTGAAATTTCAATATAATCCACCAAAAGAATTATTCATAACATTTTTTTTTTAATTTGTTTAGTATAGTTATTAAAATCGTGTGTTAAATAAGATTTTGTACATATATTCTGTAATGATGTACATAAAATAAAGTTAGTATTTGATTTTAAAATACTAAAATTCTACCAAAACTTGAATTTTAATATATGTTTATAATTTATGTAACGAACTATAGTTACGAGTAGATCAAGTGAAAAAGAAAATGTATATGAAAATAGTGTCGTTACATTTGGGAAGATTACATAGGTAATTTTAGAAGATTCGACTAGCAAATATCAATTGAATTAAAGTTTTTTTTATAACACCGATAAATATTATAACAAAGATATCTTCTTATTGGAATAATTAACTCAATTCAAAAGATTGGGAAAGAGAAAATAATTATATCAAATAAATTTAATTAAATTCCAAGTGGTATTAAAAAGTGATCATCGCAAGTGATACTAAATGAAATGGTATATCATTATTGGAAAACGGTGGGAGTAAAATTGAGAGTAGGAAAAAACTATCTAGAAAAATGATTACACTATCAATAATTATTTTAAAAAAGTATAAGGTCATTATTAAGACTCTAAAATTAAAGTATATGTTACAATGTTCAACAACAACAAAAAAGAGGTTAAATTATATACCATATCCGGTAATTAGGACATATGACAATTTTACTAAGTAAATAAAGTGTTTACTAACTAATCAAATCGTGATTTTTTTTTTCCCAATTACGTGAGTTGGTTCATAGTTTTTGTAATTTTTCACAATTAGTTACTAGGTACTTTTTGCCTAATTTTTTCATTTTTATATGGTCTTATAATGCTTAATTTTTGCATTTTCGGGCATATTATGGTCAATTATATTAATTGAATATTTTTTTGGAATAGTAAAAGTTACAAAATATAATTGTAATTTATTGGATATATTTTGTAATTTTTCTTAAATTAAAAATGATCAGAATAATAATATAAAAAATAAAATGTAATGTACTTGCTTGTTTATAAATATATAAAATAATAAATAAACCATATAAAGTTAAAAAATATGAAAAATTACAAAAAAAATGTGAATTATAGATCACATGTATTGCAGGTGCATTTAGTAGTCCAATAAGAAAGGTAAAAGGAAAATATGCCACATTTTACTTTTTATATCTGTGAAATTATTATTATTGTGTTTGTACAAGCAAGAGGTCCAAAAGTGACTGATATTATAATAAAATTTATTTTTTCACAAATAAAAAAGGGTTATTTTGCAAATCTCCAATTTATTTGCTTGTGTGTGTAAGAGTGAGGGTTTTTTTACTAACAAAAAATTAAAAAAAATGAAGTCGAAAAAAAAAAAAAAAGAG